TGGGGGGGGGGGTAGGTGGGGCTTTTCCTATTATCTCAATGTGATTTCATTGCCATGAACTCAAATTTGACATAACTACTTAGTTACTACTAATTGTTTCTACTTAGTTACTACTAATAGTAACTACTTAGTAACTGTTCATTGTTCTGTCCCCCCCCATCCCTCCCCCCACCTTTCTGCATAGTTTCTCTTAATTCTCCCAGCCAGTTGGACTTGGAGCCCTCCAGTCCTCTGATTGGCTGTTTATGGCCAGCCTGCCAGTCCTGTTGGATTTCACCTTTTATCCTTCCCCCCCTTTCTTGTTTATTCACACAAAGCTCTCATCGTAATTCAGGCACTTACAGCCTCTAACTAAACTACTACAGTAAATTCCAATTTCACCTTTCTTCTAGCTTTCCCACAACAGTGTATCCTAACTAGCCTCGTTTATGGAAAACTATGTTTATTTTACCGTATTTCTACTCACAGGCTTTCAGTGGTTTCCTAGTTGTTAGAATAAACTCTAAACTCTTTACAATGGCATTCAAAAAAACTCCAGCTATTTCTTGTGACTCCCCCAAATCACTGTACCAGTCTAGTCATTTTTTCTTATACATTTTTTCCTCTAAGTCCCTTTCCTCTGCACTCCACTTAATTGAATATTAACTGTCTAAATACTCTTACAGACCACCTACTTCAGACAGTACTTTCTTCTTCTGAACTCCTAGAACACATGCTCTGTGTTTTTTTATTGAAACACCAGCTGTTTGGAAGATGTTTAGTGTATGTATTGTTCAGGGTGCAGGTTCTACAATCAGACTTAACTAGATACTACATGTGCTTGCTACATTGGACTACTTCACCTCTCTAAATCTCTTTGTGAAATCTGGATGATAGTGCCCATTTCATAGGACCCTTGAAAGCATTAAATGAGATGCTCAGATCCTGGCACAGTAAGTGCTTGATTAATGTCAAGGAGTTTTATTAATTACATATTGACTCATGTTACTAATTATCTTTATATTATATGACTTGTCATTTCAGATAGATTTTAGTCATTTCTCTCCTTTGTATTTCCAGCAGGACTGTCATAATCATTTAATACCTGGTAAATGTTTGTTGATTAATTGGCTTATCTTAAATTAGTAATGAGTAGAAAATTGTTTAAACTAACATTTAATCTTTAGTCATTGTAATCTATTCTATTTTATACTTTAAACATATTAAAGTCTAAAATTGGTCATCTTATTTTAACTACATTAAACATTAGATTTTTTAATGTTAAGGGCAGACTATAAATGAAAATTTGAAAGCTATTTTATACTTTAAACATATTAAAGTCTAAAATTGGTCATCTTATTTTAACTACATTAAAAATTAGATTTTTTAATGTTAAGGGCAGACTATAAATGAAAATTTGAAAACTCCTAAGACCACAGTGGTGCATTGGACTTGTCGAGGGAGAGAGCATACCAAGGGTTGCTGGAGGAGGTGAGGGGAGGGAGATGAGAGAGTAATTGGGTGGGGGACACGGGGAAAAATTGCAATTTGTGGTAATGGGCATGCTGATAATATTGATCTGACCATCACATCTTGGGCACAGGTGGTGATGGTCAGTTTTGTACCCCATGAAGATGCATAATCTATTAAAAACAAAAAACAAAAAAACTCTTTTCTAGTCCTGAACCTTAAATCACAAACAAAACTTTAAAAGTAAGAGAAGGAGGTGCTTGCTTTGCTGGCTTTTTAGGCCAGTAATGAGGCTCTTTTTTTCTTCATGTAGCACTGAATTTATGTACAAAAAAGCTGTGGGTTCAAATTATGGTTCCGGTTTTAGAGAGAAATGAAACATTTGAACAGTGTAAGAAAGAATTGTTCAACATTTAAAATTTGCTTGACAGTAACTATTTTTCAAAAATAATTTGATCAGTGTTCTTTCTGATTTTAGGGCCTATCAAGAAAGAAGATTTCTTTCACAGCTCATCCAGAAGTTTATCTCTGTGCTAAAATCAATCCCACTTTCTGGTAACTATATTCTCTTACTCATTGCATTTGTGAAGTTATCATGTAGATGCCCCTCTGGTATTTGCTCGTCTCTTGTCTAGAAAGTACTCTTGGAATGATTTAAATTGTAATGACAAAGTATATGTCCTCTCTTTTTAATTATTTTACTAGTCTGAGTGTAGGACTGCCTTGAAGATTTTAAAGGCATGGTTATTGAAATGTTTATTTTTTTAGCAAATATTTTTTTTATTTAAGTACTAGATCCATCTCCTATATGAGGTGCTGGGATTCAACAGTGAACAAGACAATCACAGACTTTATCTGTCTTATATTTGCAATATGGTGCTGAATACTATCTCCAAATGACATCAAATACTGTTTGGAGGGGAAGAGGAGAATTAGTTTTGAGATGTGAGCTACACAACTAAATGGAAAGGATTTCTATGCATCATGGCCCCCATTTATTGATGAAAAAATATAAATATATACTATATTAAAATTTACTATAAGTACACCACACACACACACTCACACACATACACAGGTGTGTTATGTAACTGTGTACCAAGAGGGGTTAATTAAATTACACTGGATTTGCAAGATCTTTATAAGCATTTAATGAATGCAGATGAAATATTACTTACTTAATGAAGGTATATATGCTGTGTAAGATGTCACAATTTCATTTTATTTGTTAAGTGGAACATAATCTAAGGACAGCTTTATAGGTATACCATATTTATGTTTTTGCATCAGAGATTGTAGCTTTGTTTAAAATATAACAAAATCACATACACTTTTTACTTTATAGGGTAATAAAAACAATTCAGTTAGGAATAGATACTAATGGTATAAATCAACTGTACCTGATTTGGGACATGATACTACTACCAGTATCAGTATAAAGAAAAAATTGTCACTTGCTTATAATCTAAGTCTTAATCTATACTTAATATTAGTATATATAAATCTTAGTGTTAAATGCTTTAAAAATTGATGTCAGTAAGTATGGAGTGTTTATCTAGGGTCATCTAGGTTTAAAAAACAAGTAACCAACAAGAACGTGGGTCCTGCAGCAATTTTAACAGCCTATAACCACTTGCTGTTGCCACTGTTGTCTATGTGTGGTCAAAAAACAAAATTTCTTCATCTTGAGCTTTAATCAAAATTTGTCAACTTGTTGACAAAGGAACCAACAAGATAAAGAAAATAGTGTGCCAGTTCAGAGAGATTATGAAGATGGATGGATTATTTAGTTCAGAAATAGAAAGTGAATTTTTAAAAGATTTTAGGGATTGTAGTTTCATTTAATAGGTAATAAAAACACGCTTATGTCAGTTGTTGGAAATCTTTGTAAAATGGTCTAAGACATCAGGACTGCTGTCAGAAGAAGGAAAAGAACTACAGTATACCTAAGATACAAATGATAAGGATATATTCATGTCTGAAATTGGAAAAACAAGATTTCTGCACTGAACAGTATACCCAGTAGGGCCAGCTAACATTAAAAACATTCATCTTTGTCCACTAGAGAACAGAACTTGAGCACCAGGCATTGTTTTCTAATTTTAAATAGGCCATTTCCAGTAATTTTCTGAAGCTTTAAATAAAGATGCAGAATACATCGTTTGCTTACTTTTAAAATTTTGGACAAAAATATTTTTCTTGGACAGTTGCAAGACCAAGTGATAGCAACAGAGGGCTGGTTTGAATGAACTTAGTTTAAAAATTGCTCCTTTAAATTCTTTAAACAGCTATATGACCTAGACTACGTCTCAGAAAACCCAGTTTCTGTTTCTAACCAGCTATTATCTAGTTGTATACCTTTATCAGGTTATTTTCTCTGGTACTCAGCTTCTCACCCAGAAAATGAAAATCTAGAATAGGTGTTCTCTAAGGTCTTTTTCAGTTATTAAATTCTATGGTGCTGTTATTTCAGATTCTGGATTATAGACATATGTTAACTGGAAAAGTTCCAGTAATATTTCCATATATATTAGTAACAACAGTATTCACATTTCTTTCTTTACTTGAAGCCTTCCATTTTCCTGTATACTACAAATAAGTTAAATATGTGGATTTTGTTTAAGTATCTGTAGGGTGCCTTCTGCTGGTCTGGCACTGGGTTATTTGCTGCTGGGAGTCCTTAAACTAGGCAGTAACAGGGACCCTAAAATTATCTCTATTTAATTGAAAGTCTTGGCGGGATGGTTTTAGCTAGTAAAATGGTAGACTATTTTTTGGTATTAGGAAAAAGCTTGTACTCTGAAAGAGTTTCATGTCACAGGGTTGTAATTATTTAAAAACAAAAATAAATATTTTTAAAAATAGTACATTATGTTCAAGTGTAGCATAAAATAAGATAGTGGTTTAAATAATATTTTATTGCTCTACGTGTCATTATGTATTACTTTTGACACAAAAGTAAATGCCATACAGTGGAAAAAAGTAATAAAAGTTACCCCTCTAACTAGTTTTCTGTGTGTTTTAAAGATAGATGTATATATGTATCTCATATGTACATCTGTATGTATCCATATATAAATATACATGTGTAAATGTGTGTATATACATATATGAGTATATGTATGTGCTTATTCAGATGAGAGAACTTTTAGAAGTTTAGTATGTGAAGATAATAGGAAAGTGGAGCAAAAATTGATATAACACTGCTTTCCAGTTTTTTTATCTCCAAGTTTTTTCAAAATCTAATCATTAAGAACAGATTTCTAAAATTAACACTTTAAAAATATCTTTGCAAACCTGATTTTTAAAATGCATTTCTGACCCAAGCTAGGTTTTTCATTTTCTCATATTTGTAGAGCTAAATATCAGGGTAAGACCTGCCTCTTTAAAAATATATGTGATGGGCCGGCCCGGTGGCGCACTCGGTAGAGTGTGGTGCTTGGGAGTGCGGCGGCGCTCCCGCCGAGGGTTTGGATCCCATATAGAGACCGGTCCACTCACTGGTTGAGCGCGGTGCGGGTGTGACACCAAGGGTTGCGATCCCGTTGCCAGTCGCGGTACGGGCGCGACACCGAGGGTTGCGATCCCGTTACCGGTCATGAAAAAAGACAAAAAGGAAAAAAAAAAAATATATATATATATATATATATATATATGTGAGATACTTTCTCTGAATTATAGTCTAGTTCTGATAAATAAGAGACAAGTGGCTTTGTTTAAATTATTAAATAACTGCCAATTTTAAGAAATAGCACGCAAAATGGCCTAGTAAAATTCTAACATGTTTTCACTCTTATGTCTAGAACCTGTTACTATGGACAAAGTTCATTACTGTGAAAGATTCATTGAACTTATTATTGATCTAGAGGTAAGAAATATACAGTGACTCTGTTATATAATCGTTAAGAGTCTAAGATTAAACATATGACCATATGTGAAATATTTCTTTGTCACCTGACCTTAGTTTGTATCTTTTTCAAGGTGTCACATGAGGAGGAAGTCAGTCACAAATAATTGGCCCTTGAGGTTTTCAGATGACCGTCCCATCTAGCATGGGCTGCTTATAGAAAAAAACATTATTTAGTTAGTTATTAAACATAAGTCCAGCAATGGCAACTTATTTTCTGTCATATTTTAATACCCCTTCATATAGAGTTTTATAGTGGCTGAAATCATGGGTTTATGACCATCTCTTTAAATAACAGCACTTTTCTAAATGTGCCTAATATTGATGAAGAAAGATATAGCTACTGTTAATTTTTTTAAAAATTAAGATTCTTAAAAAAAGAGTTCATGCTGTTAGGTACAGGATTTTGATAGCAAGTTCAGTACAGAGTTCAGATTGAATCCATTTCCTTTCCTTTCTCTTTTTACCATGAGAGATTGAAAGAAAATCTGCTCTTTATCTGGAGAAGTAGGTTGGTTTCTTGAAATGAGTATGAGAGAATTTGACCAATAGTCATTCATGAGATCTTCATTCAAATTCTAGCTCTGCCAGTAAACTAATTTATAACAGCTAGGGATCTCAATAACCTCATTTATAAAATGAGGGTATTTTATTAGATTAGTAGTATTCAAACTCTCCGAGTTTCTTAGCATTGTCTTTCCGACTGTCATAGGAGAATGAAGGAAGGAGTTTCCACTTAGCAGCTGTCATAGCAGCTCCACTTTTTAACTTACTATACATATTGGGATCACATGTGGGATTTTGTTTGAGAACTACTGGCCGAGATGATATATGAGATATCTTCTAGAACTAGATTTTATTTTCAGTTTTATATTAAAAGTTCTACTATCATTATTATTGTTTTTAAAGCTAGAAACATTGCCACCGAATTTATTTATAGCAAGAATCAGACTCCTTGCTTTGTGTACAGTTTGTCTTTTGGGAGGCTAGAGGGTACTTCGTATATGAGTAACACTTCTGAGTTAAATATCAGTGTACTTCACCTCTAGCTGTGGAGAATACACACAAACTTATTGCTTTGATGTTTGTTTTTCCTAGGCTCTACTCCCCACAAGGCGCTGGTTTAATACCATCTTGGATGACTCCCACCTTTTGGTTCACTGTTACCTTTCCAATCTTGTTCATAGGGAAGAGGATGGTCATCTTTTTTCCCAGGTGAGCACTGATGATCTGAACATACTTTTACTGTTTTAATTTCTAAGTTGATCTTTTCCTTACCTTACAAGCGGGAGTACCAGGGTGTGGCACAAAGTAAGTTTTTGCAAGTATTGAATTGAATGATGTAGATTTCTTTTTTTGTTTGTTTTTTGGGGTTTTCTTTCTTTTTTTTTTCTGGTGGCTGGCTGATACAGGGATCCATACCTGTGACCTTGGCGCTGTAAGGCTGTGCTCTAACCAATTGACCTAACTGGTCAGCCCTAGATTTCTAATTAGTCATTTTAAAGTCAAGTCAAGTCTTATTATATAAAATGAATGCCTGCTTGTATAGGTGGCCTCTAGTAATAGAATATTATAATCTTTTGTTAATTATAGGTGGTTTTATTACTGTACTAAATTATGATGTTGGGGATGTAGTCCCAAATGTTCACATATTTTGATTTTTTTTTTTTTTTTTCCTTTTTGTCTTTTTTTTACTGACCGGTAACGGGATCGCAACCCTCGGTGTCGCGCCCATACCGGGGACCGGCAACGGGATCGCAACCCTCGGTGTTGCACCCGCACCGCGCTCAGCCAGTGAGCGGGAACCCGTCTCCACATGGGATCCAAACCCTCGGCAGGAGCGCCGCCGCACTCCCAAGCAGCGCACTCTCCAGTGCGCTACCGGGCCGGCCCAACACATATTTTGATTTTATGTCAGTAACCACTGTTGAATTTAGTAGATGATGAGCACTAATTTCTAATGAGCTGTGTCCCAATACCATGGCTCTGTCTTTCCTTAAGATGACTGTGATAGGCATTTGATAGCATGGGAGTATGTATGCCCTTAGTCTGCTACCTTGGGTAGGAAGGCAAATGCACTTAAATTTGTTGCCTTGGGTAGGAAGTCTAAGTATTAGTATTTCACATTCCTGTAATGTCATGCAAAAGAAAACATCTTCTTCAGAGCAAACTTCTCATGCTTGTCTTTCAGTGAGATCATAATTAGAGATACAGTTTTTGTGTGTGTTTACATATTCCCTTTATTCTTTTATCTCTTATCTCATTTTCTTTTTAATTTTCTATCTGGTGATTTGCCACATATATTAAAACATATTAAAGTCTTTATATCTGATCTCCCATAGATTAGAACCAAAAATAATAAAGATTTGGGGCGAATGCAGCCAGCAGGCTCTTGATGCTGCTGCCACAGAGGGGAAAGCAGGACCGCATTACAGCAGGAACTAAGCCATAGAGAAGGCTTGATGGCCATGGAGACTGCTTAGAGGAATGAATGACTCAGCTTTTCCCACTTCACTGTTTTTCCCTAATAGAAGCAGCACATAAAAAAGTATTTCCAATTATGAAATTTAAAACCCTCTTTGAAAATTCTGCATATGTGTAATAAGTAACAGACCTCAGGAGTTCCCTCTAGTGGTGTAGTTTTATAAATTTGCAGTGAGGTAGGTAGATACGTGAAGCAGCACATAAAAAAGTATTTCCAATTATGAAATTTAAAACCCTCTTTGAAAATTCTGCGTATGTGTAATAAGTAACAGACCTCAGGAGTTCCCTCTAGTGGTGTAGTTTTATAAATTTGCAGTGAGGTAGGTAGATACGTTTTTTTTTTTTTATTTTCCCTCATTGAAATGCTGGCATTCCTTTGATAATCTCCTTAATTAAGTCTCTTAAATATTGGGATTGCACTTTAAATATTTCTCTCCAGAAGTAGACCATGTACATGAAATAGACTTAACAATTTATTCATAAGACACATACTTTATTTTCACATATGTAAAACATGTTTCAATATGTTCTAAAATGTATTTTGTAATGTTTACATTTCAAAGTTTTTCAGCACCTCTGAGAACTTTTATTATTTTTAATAAACAGTGTTAGGCTTTCTTGCTCTTATGTTCATACAGTTTATTAATTTAAATTTATTCTTTCAGCTTTTGGACATGCTTAAGTTCTATACTGGTTTTGAAATTAATGACCAGACTGGAAATGCTCTGACAGAGAATGAGATGACCACAATTCACTATGATAGAATTACTTCTCTTCAGGTAATTGAAATGTGTTATACCCTCTACTTATGCTGTGTAAGGTTGGGTCATATTATGATTTAGGTTTTATATAGGTACGGATAGAAAAAGGCATTAATTTAATAGTGTTTTCATCTTTAACTTTTTTAATGTTTCCAATTCTGATGAATTCATGGGAAAAAAATAGTTTTCTTTGATAGTCTGTCTAAATCCTGTGAACCAATGTACTGATGTTTGATACTCAGAAATATTAGTTATGGGCCAGTTTGGTACATATAAATACTGGCTATTCTGTCAGTTCTATTTTATGAGAGTGTATTTCAACATATGGCAAGGTATGTCTAAGCATTTTGTACATTTTAAAGATAAGCACCTGATAATGGGACTGAAATTTACTAATGTCTATATAGCTCAGATATTCCAAAAAACTACTGTAAGTACCTTTGTTTTCGATTACTAATCTACTCTTGCTCTTGAGCTCCATTTCCTCTGACGACAGAAGGAAGCTTTTGTTAAAGTAATTCAGTTTTTTCTGTTTTGAAGAGTCTTTTTTGGGGGGTAAAGACTCCGTTGAATTTAGGTTCAAACTCTTTTGTAATAAATTCTGCTATCTCTTAAGGAGTCTCTATCTCCCTCTTCTTTCCCTTTAAAATGGCGTCTGGGTACATGGAGACACCGAGATAGCCTCATTGTTTTGGAAGAGGAGTGAGTTCAGATGTGTTTTCTTGCTTTTCTCAGAGCATTAATGTTTTTGTCCTTCTGCCCCTGCCCTTGAAGTAACCACAGCTGGTGTGGCATGTACTCTGTTCTGTTGGCACAGGCAAGGTATGATGATTGCTTCCAAGGAACTTGGCTGTTTTCATGTTGAGGAGGCCTCAACTTCGTTCTTTTTTTTTTTGTCCTTTTTTTGTGACCGGTAAGGGGATCGTGACCCTTGGTGCGGTGTCGTCCACACCGCGCTCAGCCAGTGAGCGCACTGGCCATCCTTATATAGGATCCGAACCCGCGGCAGGAGCGCTGCTGCACTCCCAAGCGCTGCACTCTCCCTAGTGCGCCACGGGGCCAGCCCCTCAACTTTGTTCTTGATAGTGCTAGTGTTCTCCTGAGAATTGACTAATTCATTTGCTGGCTTAGGTGACTAACTCTCAGGCTTGGGTTGCAGAGTCATTTTGCCATTGTGTGCAGTAATCTCATGGTAAGCTCACCCATAGCTTCAGTGACCTTCAGTGTCATCTACAATGGAGTACATGAAAACTGCATCTTTTCTGTGCCATGTGGGCAGCAAGGAAGACTAGGAATATTATCTCAGATACTCTTATCAAATCACCATAGTGTTGCTATTTCTGTTTTCTTGCCACTTACCCCTTGTTGGTTGCAAGTGTTACTCTGTGAAGTCCTCTCTTCCCAGGTCAAACAAAAGCAGAGCACAAGCATACTGTGGTTTTGGCCTCTCCTGCAAGTTCTCTCTCCAGTGGGAATTTCCCTTGGGATTTTTCTTTTAGTCTTGTTAGGCCAGTTCTTTAATAAATTGTTTTTTCTCCTCTCCTGTCAATGAAGCTACTAGCCTTCACAAATTTTCATACATATTCAAAATCTAATTTTAGAAATTAAAAACTGAAACACTGACTCTTCCTTTTTACATTCCTGCTAGAACAAGCCCAGTTTTTTTCCCCATTGTATTGCATGCTTCTGGCTGAATATGGCAGAGGTGACATATGAGAAGCATGTAAGAAAGAGAAGTACATTAATATTTTAAAAAATATATTATTTCCATTATATAGCTTATGAATTGTAGATGGTTGTATTAACATGTACATATTAATTATTAGTATTTTTTGCTATTCTTTTGTAGAGAGCTGCTTTTGCACATTTTCCTGAACTCTATGATTTTGCCCTCTCAAATGTGGCAGAAGTAGATACTCGGGAATCCTTGGTCAAATTTTTTGGACCTCTTAGGTAAGACGACATGAAAGGAAAACTGTGTATTCTCTTTTGGTATCATGCATCCTGAATTTTACTTTTCTTTATTGCTTTTAATCATTTTTGCACTACTTTAGATACTATTAGTTGTTATTTCATTCTGTACTGACATCTAGATCTACTGCTTCTAGCAGTTTGGTATGTTTGAGTCACTTAAGTATAATTATCCATCATTTTTTCTTTTTTGGAGGGGATAAATTTATATTTTTCAGGACATATAATTTTCCTATGTCTTAAATTTTTCTTAGAATAACATAAAGCTGGTTAATCCCATTGGTCATAACAACATAGAACAAACCAATGAAGGTTTTATCATATGTGATATTAGGAGTATGACTTAGGGAAATTACTGCTTAAATTATAAGTTTTTGTTTAAAATTTATAAAATTAGTGAAATTCTCTGGCACTTAGCTATCTGCTAATGCAGTTTTTTGAAAATAATAATAGCAACATACATTTATTTACTATTTGATAGACACTCTAAGTTTGTAAATAATTCTCGAAACATTCCTGTTAGGAGTAGGTACCCTTTTACATATAATGTAACTGAGGCATAGTATAGCTAAGTAATTTGCCTACATTACACAGCAAGTAAGTGGCACAGATGAGATTTGAACCTAGGTAGTCTGATTTATGAGCCCTGACTTTTAACCACTATGCTCTGTTATCTCCCCATTGTCCTTAACTCTTGGGAGAAATTGTTTCGTTCATTGACTATTTAAAAATGAAACAAACTGAGGTTGGTTTGGTTGTTTGTTTTCCTATGAGGATTTAATAATTTTTATTTTAATACATAGATCTATTTCATTCTTTTAAATAACTGCAAAAGGTTTTATTAAACAGGACTGCCATACTCTTTTTTAATTACTCTATTGATGATCCTTAATTTTTTAAATTTTTGGCTATTACAAACTATTCTACAACGAGCATACTTTTTACTTTTATGTAAAAATGTTTGGTACTGATTCCCAGAAGCAGAAAGGCTCAGAAAGGAATGTGTTTAAAATTTATTATATACTGCTAAATTTCCTTTAGAAAATACTGTACCAGTTTACATTTACACTAACAGTGCATGAGGATTGATTTCTCTCTCTACCAACACTAGGTAGATTAGTCTTTAATTTTCGCCAGTACAAGAACAAAAAAACCCTCATTGTTTTACTTCACGTTTCCCTGATTATATTGGGGAAATTAAGTATCTTTCTATTTTTCTTGGCCAATTGCATTTCTTCCGTAATTTTCTTTTTATTATCCATTGTTATTTTGTATTCCATTACTTGTCATCTTATTGATTTTATTTTTAAGGAATATTTATATATCCTGCATACTATTCTTTGTCTAGTTTGTGTTGCACATATTTTCTCTCAGTTTGACTTTTTTTATAGTATCTTTTGTCATTAGAGATGTCTTACATTTTTAATCACATCTGTCAATTTTCTTTTTAATGACAATATTAAATGCTTTATGTAGTAGGCCTTCTTTACCATGGGTTAGAAAATATCATTTTGGGGGCCGGCCCGGTGGCGCACTGGATAGTGCGCCACTTGGGAAGCGCGGCGGCGCTCCCGCCCGAGGGTTTGGATCCCACATACAGACCGGTTCCCGCTCACTGGCTGAGCGAGGCCCTGGAGCAACGCCGAGGGTTGCGATCCCGTTGCCGGTCCCCGGTCCGGTACGGGGCAACACTGAGGATTGCGATCCGTTGCCGGACACGGAAAAAGACAAAAAAAAAAAAGAAAATATCATTTTGTATTTTTAAAACACTTTTATAGACTTTTTACATTTAATATAGTTGCATAATCCATCTGGAGAATTTATTTTTGCCTACAGAACTCCTTTCCACTCTTAGAAATTATTGAGGATGACAAAGAACATTTGTTTATGTGGATTATAACATATTTATTATATTAGAAATAAAAACTGGATTTTAAATACTTATTTATTCATTAAAAATATCATTTAAAATATATTATATGTTAGCATACATATTATTAATGAAAATGTATTCTCCAAAATGAAAAAAAATACATAGTGAGAAGAGTGGTGTTGTTTTACATTTTTGCCAATCTCTTTAATGTCTGGTTTAATTGAAGATAGATTTGCAGATAAGCTTCTGTATTCATGTTATTCTGAGATGTTGTTTTGGTTGAATTAAATGAAGAAAGCCTTATACAGAGGGAAGCATATTTTGATAGCTTTTTCAAATTATGGGTGGATATTCTTTGATACTTAACAAGTGGTAGTTTGTTTAAAACATTAGGTTCAGAATGGAATCTGAAACCATATCAAAGAAGTCTGTGCAATTAAAATGATAGGTTCAGAATGGAATCTGAAACCATATCAAAGAAGTCTGTGCAATTAAAATGAATTAATTTGAAAAAAATATGACTTGATCATGGATGGAAGGACTGTTATGGTATGAATCCTTCCTAAATTGATCTATAGACAAAATTTAATTACAGTCAATATCCCAGCAGGATATTTTATAGAAATTGACAGACTTATTCTAAAAATAATATGAAAAGGCAAAGGAGCTAGAATAGCCAAGACCATTTTGGAAAAGAACAAAGTTGGAAGATTTCTATCACCTAACTTTGAGACTTACTATAAAGCTACAGTAATCAAGACATTATGGTATTGAAGAAAGGATAGAAGTGTAGCTCAATGGAGTAGAATAGGAAGTCTAGAAATAGATCAAACGTATATGGTTAGTTGATTTTTTCACTAATGCGCCAAGGCAACTCAATGGAGTAAGGACAATCTTTTCAATAATGGTGCTGGGACAATTAGACGTCTATCCATACGCAAAGTATGAAGTTTGACCCATACTTCACATCATATACACAGATTAACTCAAAATGAATCATAGACCTAAATGTCAAACCAGAACTTATAGGAAATTATAGAAGAAAATATTTCATTGTGGTCTGTGCAAAGATTTCTATAGATACCAAAGCACAATCCAAAATGGAAAAAAAATTGAGAAATTGGAGTTTGTCAAAATTGAAAAACTTGTGCTCTTTGAAAAACATTGTTAAGAGAATGAAAAATTAAGCCACAAACTGTGAGAAAATATTGGCTAAACAATATGTCTGATGAAGGACTGGTACCCAGAAGTCTTAGAACGAAATAGTAAGAAAACAGCTTAATTAACAAATGTGAAAAGATTTGAACAGACACTTCACCAAAGAAGATAGATGTCAATAAGCCCATGGAAAGATGCTTAATATCTTTAGTTATGAGTGAAATGCAAATTTAAATCATAACAAGATACTTCTACGAACCTGTTAGAATTATTTTTTAAAAAAACAGACAGACAATATTGACTCTTGGCAAGGATGTGGAGCAATTGGAACTCTCATACATGGCCAGTGGGAATTCAAAATGGAATAGTCACTTTAGAAAAAAATGGGTTTCTTGTAAAGTTAAACACGCACTTACTATATGATTTAGCATTCCCAAGAGAAATGAAATAGATATACATATACCTAAGAGAAATGAAAACTTTTGTTTGCACAAAAATCTGTACAAAAATGTATATAGTGGTTGTATTCATAGTTGTCAAAAACTGGATAATGCAAATATCCTTCAACTGGTGAATGAATAAACACACTGTAATACATGCATATAATGGAATATTATTCAGCAATATAAAGGAACCACGTACGGATACACACTACAGTGTGGGTGAATCTCAAATGCATTGTGCTAAGTAAAAGCAAACGGTGTCCAAAGGCTACCTAATTTATGATTTCATTTATTTGACCTTCTGGAAAAGGCAAAATGATAGCAACTGAAAACAGATAAGTGGTTGCCAGGAGCTGGGATGGAGAGCAGGTTTGATACAAAGTAGCATGAGAAATTCTTTTGGGGTGATGAAACTGCCCTAACTAGTGGGAAGCTGTCTAATGGTTGTGAATCCAAGTTTTCCAAAATTCTAGTTTTTTTCTTGGAAGTTGAAATTTTATCATTGGTAACAAATACTGATTATTATTTTCCTAAGGTACAGGCTTCTTTCATTCAAATTTGAAAAAAATTTTGTCATTTATCCAAGACCGAATAAGCATAGTTTGTTGGTCATTCTCTCAAGTAAAACTTGTGTGCAAAATGTGTATTTCCCATTTTGTCACACATAATTTTTTAAAAATGTGTACTCAAGAGTCCAAATTGAATAGCATTAATAACTTTTTGCTGCTTCATCAAGGACATTCTTAGATGAAACTGGCTTTTCTAAAAAAAAAAACTACATGTGGAAATGAGGAATACTGTGATTTATATTACAGATTGGTGCCACTGTCTCGATCCATACCAGCAGTTTTACCCGCCATTGCTTTTTTCACTGGCAGTGTAGATGTAAAAACAGTGAAATAAATAATATCTTATTATTAATATTAAAAAAGTGTTTTCAGTGGTATCTCTGAAAAGGATTAAAGGTTTAGTTTTTATTGCTGGTTTTTGATATTTGCTGCTCATGTTGTACAATTATATTTACTTTTTAAGCTATGTCATGGGATGATATTTACTTTTTAAGCCGTCTGTAGAAATACATGTTTCAAAAGTAAACTAAGTTGCTATGAATAAAATTGTTCTAAATATTATTTATTCTGCAGTTCGAACACGCTCCACCAGGTGGCATCATACCTCTGTTTGTTGCCAACCCTTCCTAAAAACGAAGACACAACTTTTGATAAAGAATTTCTTCTAGAATTGCTGGTAAATATTAATGTTCTCTGAATTTTGCGTGTGGTTTTCCCTACTTTTCTGAATCATTCCTAAAGGCGTAAGTTGCTATAGATTTCTTCTGGGCTAAAGATTAGGTAGATACTTCCTGGTTTGGGAATTATATTACCGTTTGATTTTGTCAGATTTATTTTCTTATCTCTTGAATTTATTTACTCAAATATTGAATCTCTTAAAACTTCTTTATGGCATGAATTCATTCCATTAGCAAGCATTTATGAGTAGCTTCTGTGTTAGATAGTGGATTCAGACATTGGGAATACATAGGTAGCTGACACCATTCCTGTCTTTAAGGAGGTCACCATTTATACACACACACACACACAATACATATGAATAAACATATTTATATATGTTTATTTTAGAAGTGATCATTTATGATTTGATCATCACACATTGTATGTGGGTATTGATATTCAGCTGTATACCCCACCAATATGTATAATCAATTATGGTTCAATTAAAAAAAAACTTAATCACCAACACGAAAGTATTAAGGTGGGGCTTTTAGGAGGAGATTATGTCTTGAGGGCAGAAACATTATGAATGGGATTAGCAAGTTTATAAAAGGGCTACAGGAGTTAACTATCATCCCCTTTTGTGCCACTGCCTTTCCTC